CAGTACCAGTGCACACACACACACACACACACACACAAGAATGTGTGCATGGGGCTGGGGAGGTGGCTCAGTGGTAGAGCGCTTGCCCTACATGCCTGAGGCCCTGGGTTCGATTCCCCAGCACCACTTAAGCAAAAAGAAAAAAGCCGGAAGTGGCGCTGTGGCTCAAGTGGTAGAGCGGTAGCCTTGAACTGAAGAGCTGAGGGACAGCGCCCAGGCCCAGAGTTCAGGCCCCCCCCCCAAAAAAAAAAAGAATGTGTGCATGGCCGGGAAGGTGGCTCAGTGGTAGAGCGCTTGCCTTGCATGCATGAGGCCCTGGGTTCGATTCTCCAGCACCACATAAGCAAAAAAGAAAAAAAAAGCCAGAAGTGGTGCTGTGGCTCAAGTGGTAGAGAACTAGCCTTGAGCTGAAGAGCTGAGGGACAGCGCCCAGGTCCAGAGTTCAGGCCCCACGACCGAACCAAAACAAAACAACAACAACAAAAATACCCAAGAATGTGTGCAAAGCTCTCAGCGCCTGTATCAAAGAACATACACGCAACCCTAATAAGCGCTGAATAAATACTAGCTACTACTAAGTCCCCATCAGCCAATGAACATGCCCAGCCACACTGAGAACACAGCTAGTGGCTCAGAGCTTCTGTCAAGATCCAATGCAGATTCAGTCTCAGGGCTATCCTTTGCAACCACACTTCTGTACCATCCCAGCACCCCTAAAAATCTGATGTTATATAACATGATGAGGTTAATTCATGTTTATTTACCAGGATCTGAGGTTGCCATGTGGGATACCCAATGCTTCGTATAAATTTTTTTCATTTGAAACTCATAACTCTATTTGAATTAGAGCTTGATCATTTTCTTTTTTTTTTTTTATTTTTGGGTCTGGTTGTGGGGCCTGAACTCTGGGCCTGGGTGCTGTCCCTCAGCTCTTCAGCTCAAGGATAGCACTCTACCGCTTGAGCCACAGTGCCACTTCCGGCTTTTTTCTTTTTGCTTATGTGGTGCTGAGGAATCGAACCCAGGGCCTCAGGCATGCAAGGCAAGCACTCTCCCACTGAGCCACCTTCCCAGCCCCGAGCTTGATCATTTTCTTTGTGTTTTAAACAACTCAGGAGTCAGGATTTTCTCCAAAAATGATGCTTTCCTCTGAGAGGTATTCAGGCTCCTCCATCCACTGGGTGGCATCATTCTAGACATGAGAAGGCTTGGGGGAGTCATAAAGTAGTTTGAGACCCTACCCATTAATCTTTCCTCCTTTAGCCAGCTGTTTCCAGGGCTGCAGTTCCCCTGCCCTCCCTGCTTGTTTCCTTCCCTCTGAAGAAGTCTCTCTCCCCACTCTCTCTCTCTCTGGTTTGGAAGGATCAGCCCCTGCTGGCTAGGACTTTGGTCTTTACTGACCCTGACTCTCCTCCACATCTTCTCCTTTACTCTGTTTTTTTTTTTATTTTGCAGACAGCTGGGGAAGAGGCCAGCATGTGTGAAATAAATTGCAGGATGCTCTACAAAGGAGGCCCCCAGTGCTTTTTACTCCCTTCTGTGTCGTTCTGGATTTGTGAGTGTGTAGGGGGAGGTTGAGGAGTAGAAATGGCCCTTCTTCAAAGGGCTGAGTCACCTCTTCCCTTGCTTCAGGCAGGATGGCCCTTGGCCTGCAACAAGAAAGGAAACTTAAATGGCAATAAGCTTTCTGCTCATCAGGAATTAATCTACATTTTGGATAGAGACACAAGAAACCTCAGGATAATGTCCAGCTGGGCCAGAACCAGATCATTCTCTTTGGGGCATGGGGTGTAGGAAGGAACCAGAGGAATAGGAAAATGTAGAAAAACCTTAAAGACTTAAACTCTACTACCTCATGGGAGATAGGGCATAAATTTGTACCTATTATACCACAGTTAAAAGGAAAACAGTGTATCGATACAGTATCATGGAAAGAAATCAAGACTTATTAAGTATCAAAAAGTCACTGAAAGCTGGGCACCAGTGGCACACACCTATAATTCCTTACCAAAGTCTGTATTTTATTGTGTGTATACCGGTGCTGGGGCTTGAACTCATGGACTGGTTCCATCCTTTAGCTTTTTCACTCAAGACTCGTATTCTACCAATAGAACTACATCTCCCCTTCAAGATTTTTGGTGGTCAATTGGAGATGAGTCTCACAGAAATGGGCACTGGTGGCTCACGCCTGTAATCCTAGCTACTCAGGAGGCTGAGATCTGAGGACTATGGTTTGAAGCCAGCCTTGACAGGAAAGTCTGTGAGATTCTTATCTCCAGTAAACTACTCAGAAAAAAATCAGAAGTGACTCTGTGACTCAATGCTAGCCTTGAGCACAAAGAGGCTCCGTGACAGCCCCCAGGTCCTCAGTTTCAAGCCCCAGGAGCAGAAAAAAATAAATCTCACACACCTCTTGGCCAGGCTGGTTTCAAACTGTGATTCTCAGCCCAATGCTGGTGGCTCATGCCTGTACTCAGGAGGTTGGGATTTGAGGGTCATGATTCAAAGCCAGCCTGGGCAGAAAAGTCTCCCTGAGACTCTTATCTCCAATTAACTACTCACAAACCAGAAGTGGTGCTGTGGCTCAAAGTGGTAGAGCACTAGCCTTGAACACAAAGAAGCTCAAAGACAGTGTCCAGGCCCTGAGTTCAAGCCCCGCAATAGACCAAACAACAAAAACACAGATTCACAGATTCACAGGTCTCAGCCTCCAAAGTAGCTAGGATTATAGGCATGAGCCATAGACACTAGCTTGTCTGTTTTTACTATCCATTTTCCCATACTTCCCCCAGCCCTAACTCATGATGGATTCCTATGCTTTTGACCCCATTCATAGAAATGGCTTTCCATTGTTCCTTCCCCATTCCTCCCACCATATCATCCAGGAACCCCACTCATTCCTGCTTGAAAAAGGCAACCTTAGGTTGGAGGGAAGGGATAGATTTGGGTTCTAGCCTGGAGAGGCTTAGAGACCACCTGGCTCTTCTACACCATTGCAGGAATGACCCTTATCAGGAGGTCTTTGGGGACTCATGTTAATGGGCCATTTCCCCTCTCTACTTAATGCCTTGTTAACGCAGTCTCATGATTCTAGCTATGAAGGACCACAGGCTATCTGTAGCCAAGAGTCAAGAGCCTCAGATTCTAAGATGACAACTTTAAGAGTAATCATGAAAAATAATTTGTGGGGGACAGGAATCAGCAAACTGGGACAACAGCAGCAGCTGACTCCAAGGGTCAATGTCTGGGAGTAATTAGGAAAGTTTGGTGCTGACAGCTGTGTGTCTGGAGTTTGAACATCATGGCCAAAACAGCTCCTGGGTTCTTCAGGCTAATGAAGCATTGGCCCAGGGCAAGAGGCAGCTGGGCTGTGGAAGAAGGCAGGTCCCTGGGGGCCCAGGCTTAACTTTGAAGCTCCCCATCTTTGTGATCTTAGATAAGTCACTCAGGAAAGGGAGAGAGAGAAAAAAGAAAAACCATTTTTACATGAGAAGCCCATAAGGCAAAAAGGTGACGTTCCAAGTTGAGCTGAGGAGTGGAAGGATAAAATTAGGACCCAGAGCTTCCAAATTCAAATCCTTGGCTCTTCCTATGGATGTTTAGCTTCCTCCTCCGTAAAGTGGTGATAATAATGTGTTCTTCCTGGGGATTGGGAATACAGAAAGTATCCCCATATACCTGGGTTCTATCCCTAGCAATAATAATTATAACAAGCCTGGTGCTGGAGGCTTATGCTTGCAATCCTGGCTACTCAAGAGACTGAGATCTAAGGATCAAGGTTCGAACCCAACCAGCCAGCCTGGGCAAGAGAAGTCTGTAAGACTTTATTTCTAATTAACCAGCAAAAAGCTAGAAATAGAGCTGTGGCTCAAGTGGTAGAGCACCAACCTTGAGCAAAAAAAAAAAAGCTAAAGAACAGCACTCAGGCTCTAAATTCAAGCCCCAGTACACACACACACACACACACACACACACACACACACACATTTTTAAAAGCCAGCCCATCTCATCCATGAGGTAGCACACTATTCTAAATCCCTCCCTTTTTTCTAACAACCTTAGCCTGAAGAGTGTGGCAACCTTCCTCTTGGGAATGTACTCTTCTTAATTTGCCCCCCCCACCGCTGCACCGCCCCCCACATCAGAGTTGTGGGTCTAGGACCCAGGATGTGCCTGTAAAGGAGGGCTTTAAGGGAAGGTATTTAGACTTTGTTTACCGCTCTAACCCATTCTCCAGACGCTTTTTTTCCTCCGGCCTCCTTGGTGCTGGCTCCCCCTTCTCCCGGTTTTGGCAGACAAGCTGACATCAGAGGGTGTTCCCAGGGAAAAGGAACTCTGAGTCTCGGGCCCAGCTCCAGGCGCCCCTTCCCCCACGGCTCAGGCCAGCTCAACCCCAGGCTTTAAGGTACCCCCTGAGATGGTGAGAGGCCCTTAGGGTTCCCGCCCCTCCCACCTCCCCTCCAAGGCCGGGGAGCCCTGGACCCCGACCCCTCCCACCCAAGGGGAAGGGGACGACTAGACTCGGGGAGCCTCTGCTGAGAGACCTGAGACAGTCCGGGGCGCCACACGGTTGGGCCCAGAAAGTGGATCTCGGTTCTGGGGTTCCTAGGGGAGCTGTCCAGCCGCACGGGATGAACGGGATAAGAGCATGGGCCAACGCCCCCAGAGGCGGAGGGAGCCGCGGGCGCCAGGCGCGGGGAGCGGCGGCGACTTTCTGGATTTGTGAGTGTGTAGGGGGAGGTTGAGGAGGAGAAATGGCCCTTCTTCAAAGGGCTGAGTCACCTCTTCCCTTGCTTCAGGCAGGATGGCCCTTGGCCTGCAACAAGAAAGGAAACTTAAATGGCAATAAGCTTTCTGCT